TTTATTTTCACTCCCTAGACAAAATGAGCAGTTAAGGTAGTCCCACTGCAAGGGTTAACTTTTCAAGTTCCTAGAGTTCTAGTGTACACATGTAGTGATTTAATTCACAGATCATACAGATGACTGCCAGCAAATCTGAACTGGCAAAGTTCCAATAATTCTGGGTAGTGTCAAGCTTGCTGCTCCCTCTGACTCCCCCACATTCCTATGGGCCCATCATTTTGGTGGCTTACCTCATTGGCCATTAGCTGGGGATGCACTGAAATGAAATTTTTAGGACGTAAACCAAAATAAAAAAAATGTGTCAGGCCGAAACCGAAACTGACTTTTTTCCAACCTTTTTAAATGTTTTACATTATTTTTAAATTACCATATTTGCCGGCGTATACGACGACCCCCTACTTTTTGTGTTAAAATATAGGTTTTGGGCTATACTCGTCGCATAAGACGAGTATAGCCCCAAATAATGTTTTAATGCACCCACTAACCTCCATGGCGGTATTCCCGAGTGTGGCTCGCGGTTAATTTTCAGTACCATAAGCGGTAACCCCAAGCCACACTCGGGATTACAGTCTCTTACCTTGTCCACGATCCACGCAGTGTCCTCCATCTTCTGGGTTTCCGTCCTTCAGCTACATACAGTATACCACGCTGAGCCTATCACGGCAGGCTTTGTATTCTTTAATACAGGCTTTGTATTAATGAATACAGGCTTTGTATTCATTAATACAAAGCCTGCCATGATTGGCTCAGCGCGGTATACTGTATGTAGCCAAAGCTGCATACAGTATACCGTATCCTTCCGTATGTACCCAGCGTATAAGATGACCCCTGATTTTCGGGGGATGTTTTAAGGTCTCAAAACCCGTCTTATACGCTGGCAAATACGGTATTTTGGTTTATTTATTTATTTTTTACTTTACTGTTGGTGGCTTCGGGAAATATTGGGGGTCTAAATAGAACCCTGATATTTCCCTTTTGAAATAGAAACAGAGGTTGAGGACACAGAGTCCATAATCTCTTTTATTGCAGCCCCTGTTATGAATGAACAAGAAGCCTCTATACTGGGTGTTCCTGTTCATTCATAAACTGTGAAGATAGTATCAGTTATTACGTCCACAGTCATAAATGAACAGGAAGTGATGTAGAGCACTTCCAGTTCATTTATAACTGAGGACACAGGGGGACACTGGGGAAACCAGCAATTAACCTGATGATGTCAAAGATGATTACACTACTGGAGCCTGGGGGGGGGGAGACTGTGGGGACCAGTCTAGCAGCCAGGCAAGACCGAGGATCGGGTGATTATATCTTTTTTTTATTTTAGACCCTAGACCACAACAAGCACTTAACTCTTGCAGTGTATGGGGTAGCCCCACTGCAAGGGTTAATTTTTTACATACCGGAAATAGTTCTTTATTGATTAGATGGACTACACTATATTTACTTATAAGTTCAGTATTTTTTAACCATATTATGATTCTTGACTTTTCATTCCTTTTATGTGCTGTTTCTTATTTCTGTTGCATATTTGTGTACTTTTGTGCCTACTGATCTAAAAAATGAAGAAAAAAAACTTTCAATTATTCCATACACAGAGTCTATTTAAAGTGACAATAAACTCAGGAGTTAAATCTTAAAAATGCATTCTGTATCTTATTTGTGAATCACTCGGCTGTAGATCCTCAAATCATCTCTGAATTGGTGCTGACACTATCCTTCCTTCTGGAGGGGGGCTACTTTTGTTCCCCATGGTCCCTGTGTGTGTTGTAAAGTAGCCACCACTCCAAGCTCACTTCTGTGAGGGACTACAATCTCAATACAAATTAATAATCTAAACATGAGATTGCAGTCCATCACAGGAGTGAACTTGGAGCAGTGGCTATTTTACAACACACACAGGGACCATGGGGAACAAAAGTAGCCACCCTCCAGAAGGAAGGACAGTGTCAGCATGAATTCAGAGATGTTTTGAGGATCTACAGCTGAGTGTTACACAAATAAGATACATTTTTGTTAATAGTTTGGGTACTTGAATGCATTTTAAGATTTAACGTCTGAATTCAGAGTCACTTTAAGTAGTGACTTCATAATAAATGCAAGTAGTGGAGTCTGTACATGCTGTATGCGTATTTGTGTTATGTAGGCACAGTGAGTTATGAGACAGGTGAGCTGTGGGTTTTATTTACTGTGTCACTCACTGCACAGAAATACACGCCAGAATCAGTGACTTCAGCCTGGTCCTTAATCATGTTATAAGATGATTTTTCCTTCTTGTGGGTCCCTGTAAATCCTTTATGGCTTTTCTGTGTTAGGTCATTAAGCAGCATGGTAGGCGCTTGACCTGGATACCGAACGTACCAAAAAAGATAAGGAGTGCCTGAAATTATATATTTGCATTCCAGCAACAGAGACTCTCCTTCAAGAATGGTCTGAGGTTCCGATGTCTGGTTTACAGATTGCCCTTGAATTCCTCCTGCAGATACGATGACAATATTCGTAATAAGTAATATATCAGAGAGCGAGAGAGAGAGAGAGAGAGAGAGAGAGAGAGAGATGTTCAACATGATACACGTTAATCCCAAACCAGAGCCTCTCTTGTACATGCAGCAGAAATCCAAATTTTCATTTATAATACTCTATACCTATTAGAATATATCCAGACACTATGCATATGATGATAAAATCCATGGCATAGGTATGTGTGCTTGTACACTATGTTCTCATATGTATGTGAAGACGGGACTATAGTAAGAGATGTATATATCTCTTCATCACCTGACCTCCTTGTTACTTCCTGCAATCACCTGCTGTCAAACAGAGCGTAGTGCTTGTGTTTCTGGTAATGCAAAATACAGATATTCATCCAGTAAAATGTTCTGCTTATAACCTAATGTTGATTTGTGATCAATTAAAGTATATCTAGACGTGGGGGTGTTAAAACCAATGTCAGATTTATTGGGGAGATTACCCTTCACCTCCTTTTCTGTAGACTCAACAGGAAGTGAGAGGATATCTTTCTAATGTGAAGGAAATCCCCTCTTAGACAGTTGATAGAGGAACAAGTGTCCCCAGCGGAGGATTTCCCCTCTATTGCTGTTCTGGTGAAAAACAAAAATGTTGGCTATACCCTTGAAAGAGAAACCCACTAGAATGTTCATATTAAGCATGGGAGTGTCCATTTTGTATAAGGTATCTGTGTACCCATTAAGTATAAAGACTGAACTCTTTTTAATACCCCTTCCTTCTCAAACAACAGATGATGTGAATATTCATTTTAGTCATACAATTATATGAAAAACATATTCCAGGTTACTTTAAATACCCAATAATGTGCAGCATGTAAGCATGTAAGTAATCAGGGATTTGCATGTTTGCAATGTGGTGATCAAATTGTCTGGTGTATAAATAAAATGCAGACATGTCACAATTTTTTTGAAGAACATTTGTTTTCAATCAGCAGACATGGAGCTGAAGTTGCGGCTAGGGGTGGGGGCAGAGGGCACCTCCCTGAAATGCTGAAATAAAAAGGGCACCTCCCTGAAATTACTTTTTTCAGGTTGGGATCCTTGCATTATGTAACCAAATGTCTGTGCTGAACTAAGGACTGCCCATCAATGCCACCGGACTAGAGGATGGACTTAAGATGTCCCCAGAGCAGCCTTAACACTGCCTAGTAAAGGAAAGTTACCAACAAATGGGGAAGGGAAGTATTGTACTTTAAGGGGTCTATTCACAAAGCTGCTGAAGCCGTTGGCTGCCATCAGAATAAAAAAAAAAAACAGCATAGGAATGCACAGCTACATTCCTATTGGCTATTTCAATTTGCAATAGCCAATAGCAAACTAGCTATTGCAAAGTGAAATAGCCAATAGGAATCTAGCTATGCATTCCTATGGTGTTTTTTTTATTATTATTCTGACGGCAGCAGAATCGTCCGGCCAATAGAAAACAGTTAGGTGGAGCCAGCTGTCACTGCTAGCTCCGCCCAATCATTTTCTATTTTATTTTTTGTACTTTTTTAACTGTTTTTCTATTCTGCTCAGTACCACAGAGGTACCGGGCAGAATAGCCAAGCCGAATGCCGCTATTCACTCACTGCTGTTTGGCATCTATGAGAATAGGCCGAACAGCAGCGAGTAGCCTGCCGGAGGTTTGGCTCAGCCGATCCAGATGTTGGATCGGCTGAGTCGAACTCCTTCTGAACTTCGGGTCGGCCGAACATGCTGAGTATGTTTGGCCGACCCGAAGCCAGCCACAGCAAGCAGATGTATGGCTGATTTTAGTCAGGGGACGGCTGAAATCAGCCGTACAAGCCTTAAGTGAATAGCCGAACAGCGTTCAGCTTACTTCACTTTGGGTCAGATATTCACTCGACTGCCAACGGCAGCTTTGTGAATAGACCCCTAAGTGTTTTTAATACTGCACAATACGTTATATGCCCTGCCATATTTATGGACTCATATTGTAAGTGTATCCATATATTTATTATTTAAATATACAAGCTATATAACGATGATGGCAATTTTTCATTCATTGCAGTGTTTATATATGTATATGTTTGGGGAATAAAAAAAGCTCTGATCACTTTATGTTCTTCTGAACTTCAGTAGGAGGCTTCACAGTAATAGATGGCATAGCAGAGTACCTAAGCTCCATTTTTGCTACGAGAAACAAAGACAATTAAAGAATGCCTAGTTGATGTCATCACTCTGTGTCCATAATGTCACCATTGCCTCAGTGTCAGCATAGCCAATGCATTCTTGGGGTGAATTCCAGTCTCTGCTCATAGCAGGGGTCATCAGTGGCCTTCACAAGCACAAACAAAAACATTTTTTTGTTAATAAAGTTGTCTTAATTAATTGGCAAATCCAGGTAGATTGGGTCCCATGCCTCAAATGAATGTTATAGAGGCTTAAATTATATCTTTATAGAACAGTGTTCTGTAACAGGGAATGGATGAGACACACAACGAGTTATGTGCCAGGTGAGTTGTGGGTTTAGTGCACTGTGTCACTCACAGCACAGAAGTACATGCCAGAATCAGACAATACAGCTTGGGTTTTGTTCATGTGGAAAGATGTTCTGGCCTTGTCATGGATGGCTGAAAATCCCTTGTGTGCACTCTGTGTCGAATAATGTAACAGCATTTCTGGAGCTTTACCCGGATACTGGACATACCACATAAGATAAGGGGAGACCGAGACTTTATATATACATTCCATGAATACAGGGTCTCCCTGAAGGACGATCTGAGGTGCCATTGTCTGGTTTATCGACTGTGCGTTATTCCATCCTGGAAAACATATTATAGTGTTAACATTCATTAGCATTTGTCTATGAGATAATACTCGTAACCCATCTATAGCACATAGACATTTTTATATAATAAAAATATTAATTTATCCTGTTGCACCATTTAGATTTATAATCATTCTATGTATTTAATAAAGATACAAACCTAGTAGTGAAAAACATGAAAGAAGGAATGCAACAACTGAATCCATCATATGTGTATGCAGATGTATGAGTACAGAAATTCTTATAGAGCTACGGTATATATGTGATCTGTCATGTGATCTCTCTGACTTCCTCTGAAAGTAAAAAACGCTCACATAGTAAAAAAAAGCACTGCTTTGCTACTTGATGTCAAAGCCAAGAACATTAGGTGATTATATCTACCTGGAGGAAATTGATTGCAGGAGAGACATACAGTGACATTTCTCTCATATTCTACTAATTTTGTGGATTATTACCATCATGGTTGTCACATTAACATATTGGAGTACTTGCTCCAGAAGCCTTTGCACAGTGTTTTATGCTTGAGAAGGCTTTTGCACGGTACCCAAAAACACATCAACACCAAAAACTGGCTTCATGTATCGACATGTGCTAAATAAGAGCTGACATTGTCATCCACAGCTACCAGATTTAGATTTTCAGATCTAATGATTTTTAATGATTGATCATTCTATCAAAACATAGTCACTTACACCAACCTTTCTCAGTCTTTGGCTAATTAACATAGCGTTATGCTTTTCCATGGCAGCCGCCAACACCATGGAAATGAAAGATGCTAATCCAAGGAGGGTGAGATCCATTCAGAAAAGTTTGCCTCCATGAATGGGGAGGTTGAAGGGGGGCTCCTGATGCAATGGAGGGCTATGATGTGAAAAGGGGAACCCCACTTTTTTGTGTTTGCCATGCCCCCCCCCCCCCCTCCTTAAAAACCATACTAGACCCTTATCTCTGTTAAGGGTCTGGAATGGAGTTTGGAGTCATGTTTTACACTTACATTTTTTACATTTTGGACTGGGAATGCATTGAGATTTTGCATACTTTTAAACACTGAGAAACACTGGTTTAGACCACAAGAATGTGCATGTTAATGCCTATGAAGAGCGAGAGAAGATAAAGGACAGTCCTGATGTCAACTTCAGGGAAAAAACAAAAGAGATCAGCCAGGAAACCAATTAAGCTAACCCAGCTAATCAGTTCTTTGTCTGAAAACAGTTATTAGGGTGGTGTCTGCAGAAGTTAAAGACTACCCACAGGCATATGATCAATCCTGGGCGTACTGTAACTGCACGGCATGAGCAACAGTAGGGGTGGGCAATGTAGATACTTATTATTTTTATATAGTGACAAAAAGCCTGGGTGAGCAGAGGCCGCCTTTAGTTCAAGAAGGAAGAGTGTAGCTTCTAGTACTTCGTAGTGTTGTAGCTTTATAACTGAAGCCTACAAAGTAACCTAAGGCATTTATGTGCAAGGGCATTTGATGTCTCCATCAGAAGAGACAGTGCTCATGACGATCTCTTGCTTTACCCAGTGTAGGGCACCAGTGGTTAATGAAAGTTGGGTCAACTTCCTTAAAGGCACTGGGGGGAATTTATCAAAACTGGACCAGACAGAAACTGGAGCAGTTGCCCATGGCAACCAATCAGCCCCTCTCTTCAGTTTGCTCAGTTGCGATTTGAGAATGAGACGCTGATTGGTTGCAATGCAAATCTGCTCCAGATTTTTTGATAAATTCCCCCACTGTATATATAGCACTAGCTTATCTCTGCTCAGTCAGAAGACATTAAAAGAAAAATGGATCTTTTTTTTTTTCTTTTCAGTCCACATGCTAGCTGTGGGTCGGCTGCTTTGGATGTGAGCTGTAAAACCTATTCAGATAACGTTAAAGCAAAACTGAAAGAGGGGTCACCAGCACTCCAAAGATTAGTAAATAAGTGAAAATGCATTTTCATAGCGTCACATAGGTCAAATACCGTATATACTCGAGTATAAGCCGAGATTTTCAGCCCATTTTTTTGGGTGAAAAGTGCCCCCCTCGGGTTATACTTGAGTCAGCGCCAGGTGCCATCTTACTTACCTCGCCGAACGTCGCGTCACTGCTGCTCCGGTGTGCGGCGCTCCGAGCGGGGTCATCATTTTTTTCGGGGCCATGCAGCATCCCTTCTTCAAAGCGACACAACACCATAATTTTCTTAATTCATCTTACAGGCTCTAATAGTGTACACTGCACTGTGCATGCATCCTGTACACAAAAAGAAAATCCTCAGTAACAGGGGGAAAACATTTTGTTTTTGTTTTGTTAGAAGAGGCATACACAGGTTTTTTTTTACCCCAAAACTCTAGCTACAAGCTTTTTTTTAGGTGATATCAAAATCAAAAGTGTTTTTTTTTTGGCTATTTCAAATGCTTATTAAATCCCTTATGATTATCACTTAGGTGGCTCCTTTCCCTTGCAGAGTCCTGTGGAGCTACCCCTAGTAAGCTGTATGTGTGTCTCCACAAACACACAGGCACAGCAAGACAAGCTAATCCACTGATGCATGGTTCCCCCTCCTCCCTCCTCCTTCCCCCCTTATTCCTTTCCCCCTCTGTCCCTTGTGATCTTGTACATGGAAGTTCAAGGAAGCTGAGCTGAGAGAGAGTTGGCACTGTCTGGAAACATGATGACTAAGTACTTGGATGAAAATGTAAAGCAATGCTTTGCTGGACCATGTATATTTGTTTGATCTGGAACCATTATCGAAAAAAGAGTTTAATACTACTTTAAACTTCAGGTTTCACTATAAATTATGTCTGTGGAAAATTAAAGCAACAGAAAAACAGCAATGAACATTACTTTCAGCTAATGCTGCAGAATGCATGTTCTCAATGTACTGTGAATGATTACAGCTTAGTATATGATTACAGCTTAGCTTATCATATCATGAATCAGCTAAGAGATCAGTAGATTTTGAAGTCATTATGTACAAAAAAGAGCTTAAGCAGGATCAAATCAAATAGTCTCAATATACAGTAACATGCATTTGATTTAACGTTATTTTCAATTTTTAGAATTATATTGAGTTGCCTACGGTGAATAAAAAAATATAGTATATTGGGACATGATCTTCCACAATGCAATGTATGTACAAAACGATTTGGACAGCTACAGGACTTCACTAAATTAACCACGCATTCATCAATTCTTTTTATACAGTACTTGGTGACTTTTTCCTGTTTTCAAACCTACAGTATGATGCTGCCATCCTGTGTTGGCTTTTGGGTTATTACACCAATCTATACAATGAAGACAGGATTTACTGATTCTCCAAAGATCTGACAGGTCTGCTTGAGAACATTTTTAGGTTAATGAAATATGACAGATTGGTTAGTTCACCTGATCTGGTCATCACTGATACTGATTAAAAAAATGGAACAAATCAGATTGATGTTGTTTAGGAACGTATTGAGAACAAGATAAGCACTGTCTGCTTTCTCCTTTCAACGACCTGGCTTTATTGTAATCCTATATGCAGTGGCGTCACAAGGGGAGTGCGGGGGGTGCGGCCCGCACCCGGGTGACAGTATTGGAGTGGTGACACCAAAGTGACTGACAGTCATTTTGGTGTCACCCCCTCTGAAATGTTGTGCACTCGGTCATGGACCGAAAGCCCGACAGTTGGAGGAGAGTGGAGGGGACCGGGGGCATACCTTATCCTGTCAGGTGAACGTCCCCTCCTCTCTCTGCCGGCGTACATCACCAAGATGGCCGACCGGGAGGTATCACCAAGATGGCCACACATTCGATGACATCATGACGCATGTGCAATGACGCCACGGCGGTGTGTCACCCTATACCCTCTCTGGGTGACACTCGGCCTCGGGATGCCCCTGCCAATATGTAATACATTATGGAGTGTACTGTATAAAGCAAATTGTATGTGTTGCTGTTTTTCTGTCAGTTAATCAAAAGTTCTTCAGCAACATTCTGTCGTAATATTGCATTAAAACAGTTCACAGTTTCAGAATACTTCCACACAGTATATAACAACAGCAACAATAGCTCACCAACAGTTTGTAGTTTAGCCTGAAGGTCACACTCATGGTTTATTTTTTTCTCTTTCTTCTGGGATTGTACCATCTATCGCCATAATACGCTACTCAGGAACTCAACATGATCATTTCCTGAGGTTTCCCATTACTTTGCAACCATGCTTTAATGTAAAGAAGAAATGGACACCAGAGTTTTGTATTTTGTGCCTGTGATGCCTGGGGGACTAATATTAAAGTGAATTTAAAGTAAAAGGTTTTAAAGCTATTTTCAAATGCTGATGAAATCACTTACAATGAATGCTGCTTCTTAATGTTTCAATGTTTTAATGTCATACAGAATCAGCTGGTCCCCTGAGCATTAACTTCTGCTATCTTGTTTTAGAGTAGCTGCTTTCCCTTGCAGGGTCCTATGGAGCCACCCTTGTGTGTTAGTAAGCTGTGTGTGTCGTCGATGTTAAAGGCTGATGAAGGGACCCTGCTTGGCCCCGAAAGCGCTTGTTTCCATTTTGATGAATTGTTCAATAAAATTAGCATTTGGTGATCCTGAAAGGATTTTCGGTGTGCTGGTGACATTCTTCACAACCAATCTATGCATACAGTGGTGCCATCCGCAGTCATTACAAGCACCCTCCCCATCACTGGCAATAAGGAGTAAGGGCATGTTCACACCAAATGCAGGCCAGATCTGCATGAGTTTCTGAACACGCAGTGCAGTGGATTGTGCCACGTTTTTTTGCCACATTTTTGATGCGTTCCGAATCTTTTTTTCTTTTTTTTTACAGTTTAGAATTGGCTTTCAGTGCATTCCAGGGCGTTTGCATGCATTTCTGATGCGTTCCAGAGCAGGTAAAATAAGGCTTGCTGCAGTTTTTTACATGCTCTGGAACTGAACGCTGCGGTGTGAACTAGAGCCCAAAATACCATTGGAATACATTGGACGCAGTTTTGATCCGGTCTGTAACTGCTCTGCTCCTGGAACGCACTTGGTGTGAACAAGGCCTAAGGAGTGCAAGATCTTAATCCACAAACACACAGGCACAGCAAGACAAGCCTCTCCCCACAAGCCTGCTTCCTCCTCATCCTCCCTCCCTTCCTTCTCCAAATTAGTAGATGGATAGTTGCTGGAGATTGCTCTGTCCACGGGAGAGTTGAAGTGGAAACATGATGACTGTAAGTGCTTGGACAAAATTGTAAAGGAATACTTTTGCTTTTCCCAGGTGTCTTTGGTACAGTCATGTGACTTAATGGTCCTTTTCCTCCTTTTCTTTTTCCGACCGGGGGATGGATGCTGCAGAAAGTGGCACCACATAATGACGTTATGATTCTCCTATTGACATGCCCCCAGGGAGCGGATCCTTTGACGCCTTGGGCTGACACTAAATGGGATAAATGATGCTCATTCAACCTGGCATTTAGCATGGGATTGCAAAACAAAAAGTCAGTAGGGGGCAGTGCCAGAGATAGGGTAAGTATTGCAGCAAAAGCTGCTTCCCATATTTGTGCAATGGCTAAAAATGTATTTAGTTTTCTTTTAGAAGCTGGATTCAGGCTTTAAATTGGGCAATACCACAAAAACAAAACACCATCTAAAAAGTAGACGTTTCTGACCTGATCCTAATGAAAAATATGTCAGAGGCTAAAGCACTAAATGTACTGTCTTTTCATTGGCTTTAAACCCTGACAGCGGCAAGTGGGTGTTTTTACGTTTGCTGTTTTCTTTTGTATTTGTCCCCCATTAATGACTGTAATGTGTCATAAATCTGTGCATTACAAAATAAGAATAGAGAGTAATATGTAGGGATGGGCCTCAGATTTAGGTCAAACATAGTCTGATTATGGTTCAGCGAAACACGGAAAAAACTTGCCAGTTTGCCCACCTGACCATATTTGGTAAATTACATTGCACGCTTTATAGGCAGTAGTGAGGAAAGAAAGGACTTTTTAATAGTGTGCATCTCTTTATTTTCTTTTGACTTTTTTGTTTTTGGAAAACAGTAATAAGGGGTACAGAATGTACCCTGTACTGATTCCCCTAGGGGGGCAAGCAGATATCTAGGGGCCTACTTATTATACCAGGGGTTTCTAGATTCCAATAAGCCCCCTATCACAAATGTCCTGCAAAACCTTTTGGAGGTTAAGATGTTGCAAAGAGGACCTTGTCCTTTAACATTGGCAAAATCTCCTCCCTGCTTGCAAAGTACCCTTTCACTTTTAAAAGGCATGTGGCCTGGTGTGGTTCGGAAAGGGGCTGCTTACTCACCGCCCTCCCTTTCCTGGACTGGCTGCCTGCCTGGATAAGGACTGGAATTTTTAGGGGAACCACACGCCATTTTTTAAATGTGTACTGTCCTTTAACACAAAAAAATGTGTTTAAATTCAAATTCAAAAATGTATTTAAATTCAAATTAGATCCAGGCCCTTCTTTGGTGGACTGGATTGCCAGAAAAGAGAGGCGAGCGTGTGAGTGTGCGGTCAATGATGTCTCCCAAGATCTGCTGCAGTTTGTTTACATTCCAGCAGCAAGAGATCTCTCATTTAGTGATAGGAGTGTGGCAGGGAAGCATAGGGGGTAGATCACTGTGACAGCACGGAAGTGTTGTTGAACAGCAGGTCACACATCGCTGGATCTACATCTCTGGACAGCATGACTGATGATGAATTTACATTGCTGGACATTGTTTACATTTTATTGGTATTTTATTAAGAATATTTTCATGGTGTGTGTGTGTGTTTTCTCATCCTTAGTCATAAGCATAGATTACCTTCAGTTAAACTCACATGTCAATAACTGCAGCTACAAAGAGGCTGTTGAAATTATATGCAAATTGAAATTTTTCCTGTGAAAGTTAAGCTTGGCTTCACATTTCTCCCTTTTGTTAGGGAGACTTCCCGCCACATTTAAGAACAAATAAGTCCCGTTTTAGATTACATTTGCACAAAATATCAGCTACCTACAGTATATCTTGGAGTCTATTGATCATTATGACATGAAGTTTTCATTAAAGGTAACATTCACCTATGTAGCATGTATCGTATGCAGGTAGGAGGTACAGATATGTGCAGAGGCACCCTGCAAATAACACCTTTGGAGTGGGAGAGACAGTGGTCTGACAAAGATAAGGCTCTATGAATCTATATATCACAGAGTGGGGGAATAAAAAAAAAAGGAGGTGTGGTTCTAAAGCACCCCAAACATGGCTGTACCTGGGGAAGGCTGCCCAGTCCTTACCCCCTTCCCCTCCAGGTATGCCACTGTAACCTCAGACACAATCAGAAGCAGATTTTATCCAGGGGCTGCCTCCTGATGGACCTGATGGTGAACTGCAGCAGAGGGCGGGTACAAAAAAGACCCCTAAGTGCTGAGTAGAGCTTCTCCTTATTGATTGTAATTTTGAATGGTCCCTTCTCATCTCCTGAAGTATAACCATGTAGGATGAGCTCCAGTGCTCCATCTTTGTGAACCTTGTACCAGAACAATAGGGTATAGGTAGTAATACTGTGATTACAGGGAATCTCAACATTCTCTCCTTCCTCAAATGACAGTGTATGTGGCTGATTAACCTTATTTTCACCCCCTATTCAGACACAGTAAAAAGAAATATGATTAAAGAAAATTCAGAAGAATATATTTTGACACTCAAATTATGCAGAAATCAATCTTTGTAACACCTTTGTAGACTTACATATCTAAAAAGGTTTGATCTAAACATGTGTTATCCTGTGTGATAAATACAAGTATATTACATCACTTCCTGCATTCAGTGTCACTCTCTGGTACAGAGCACCGGTGAAAAGCTGCTGAAGCAGATCTCTCTATGTGAAACACTTT